AGCATTTTAAATTCTGATATTGTGAAATCAGCTGCCAGAGAAATTTTGGTACTTCTCTTTGGATCAAAGGCATAAGTAAAAGTTTAGCTGGAACTGATTTGTGTACCCAAATCCATCACAAACCACACAATTGTTGAATCTCTAACCAGAAAAGTAATATTTCTTTAAACCATAAGCTGGCCCAATATTTCTATAAACTGTAATATTTCTTTAAACTGAAAGCCATAGTAAACATATGCCAGCTTGAATGGAAGTTGAAGTTTTAGTAACTACCCAGTATTGGAAGAAATAATCTGATGAAAAAAAAATTGTGGTAAAATATACATAACACAAAATTCACCGTTTTTACCATTTTAAAGTTTGGTGGCATTAAGTACCTGTGCAACTAAAACCTGAATCTTAATCTCAGTTTGGTAAAAATCGCTGCTTTAATGTAGTCTACTGCTCTAGGGAAGCAGACCTGCCAGCCCAGAGTTGTACAGGATTTATGAGTGTGGAGCCAGGAGGAAAGCAACACTGTGAAGCAGGCAGAAAATCTCAGCACCATCCCATTTCCTTGCCGTGGTGCTCTTTTCCCTCCATGCCTCCTCTTGGTCCTCCTCTGTCCCTCCTCTGAGTTGACTGCCGACCAATCCTTACTGAGCCCTTAGCTGTTAATTAGGGTAAGGCTTAAGATACACCTTCCCATAGTGTATTTGTATTGTTTAAAGCGGACTTTGAAAAGAGATAGTGAGGTGGGCAGCAGGGGCCAGTTGGTTTCTCAAGGCTCATTTGGTCCAACCAGAGTGGCAGAGAGGGAGTCTGTACATACGGAGGGTGGGACCTGTCTTACGCTCTTCTTGATGAAGAGAGTGTAAACTTTGAGCTGCTACCACTGCTCTTAATCCCCAAACACCCAACTGCCAAAAAAAAAAAAAAAAAAAAAAAAGCCCAACAGTGCTGAATGCCCTGACCACCTCTCCTCGGGAGGCCCCAAGCCTTCCTGGCACCGTTAGTTGTCCCAGTCAGAAACCACAGGGCCACCACCACATTCTTCCTTGTTCATATCAAATCAAGTCCTTTCAACTCCATCTCCATTACTTCTGTTATCTCCAGCGCTTCCATCATCTCATGTCTGGGTTACTACAGCAGCTCCAAACTAGTACCCTTGCTTTCCACTTTTCACACAGCTTCAAGTGTTCTGTCCAGAAAATGGATCTGCTACTCCCCAGCTTAAAAGCTATAGAAGGCCCTTTGCCCCCGGGATAAAGCTATAGGATCTTTTATGCCCCAGCCTCTGCTTGTTCTCCTGTATTCCCTGCCTCATACATTACACCAGCTACTCTGAACTTCTCTTTCCCCAGCTTTTCCCATCCCCCTCCCATTCTTTTGTCTAGCTCAGTCCTACCTACTGTCTCCTCTGTGTGTTCGTGTAAACCTTCCCTTCCCTGGGGAGCCTCCCCATGCACCGTGTTCTCACGGGGCTCTGCCCCCAAAGCCCCCTATTGCTCATCACAGCCGCACTTACAGTGTTGGCCTCCACTGGAATAGTTCCACTCCTCACTAGAATGGAAGCTCCGTGAGGGCAGGAGAAACATCTATGTGATTTCTGTATGTATCCTGGTGCCTGACACATAGAAATACTTATCTGAACAAATGTGGCAGTGAGTGAACCATCTCAGCCTGTGGAGTTAGCTCTCTCCTGGAGGTAGCTCTTTTCTTAGGCCTCAGGCACTAAAGCTGATACAACTGCAAAGATTACAGTTAAAAACTAAGGAAGGAAGATTTTACATACCTTTAAAAGAAAAAAAAAGAAACAGAATGTGCTCACACCTGTAGAATGTACCTGCTGTTCTGTAACCTGAGATAAGAATTGAACAGAAGGAAATATTTTGTCCTGGGAGGCAGATGGCCCTGACACCCTCCTGACCACCCAGAACTGCAGATAGCAGATCAGATCATCTTGGGTCCCATATTCCAAATTAGTCAGCTGGTCACACTGGCGCTTAAACCTACACTGGTCCACCCTTGGAGACATCTCATCCTCGCAATGTGTAGTATCATGCCCTGGGCCTAGTGATCTCTGGAAAAGTGTGTAATGATCACATAACGACCGATAAGCCACAGCAGGATGCCAGGGGCTGCACCTGCTGTTCTGTTCCTGGTAGGCGGTGGAGCAAGTTGCGGTTGTGGGTTAGTAGCCAGCCGAGGTGAGGGGGTCAGGCTCTGGCAGGTGGCTTCTCACTCACAAGTGGGACCTGCATACCCACTCCCCACTTAAGAAGCTAGAGCTGCCGCCTAGAGGATGTGCCGGAAAAGCCTACTGTCTTCTAACTCCGCTTCTTTTCACCACCCCTTTCTCACTTAGCAAAGTGCCCACATTTGTTCGAATGCTGGCCCCCGAGGGAGCCCTGAATATACATGAAAAAGCGTGGAATGCCTACCCTTATTGCAGAACCGGTGAGTGCAGACCCGGCCAGAGCTGGAGTTTGGGCCCCAAGGTGGTTGGAGCGTGTGGTCCAGTGGGCCCAGGGGTGGCGATGAATTGGGGTTTTGTGTCCCACCTTCATTTTCTAGATTAAGCCAGTGGAAGGATGAGCTTGGGGCCTCCCTTCAGGCTGGTGGTGAGTGGCAGTGTTGTCTGGAGCAGTTTGGCAGCGGGCTGGGTGGGAACTACCAAGTAGCCATGGCCCAAGATGGCACAGAACCAATCCCTCCTATTTGGGGATGGTATGATAACTTTGATTGTTTTTACTGAATACAAAAGGAATATTTTCTGTTTAAATTTTGGAGAATATGTACAAACAGAAGAAAATAATCACTTACGATCTTTCCATTCCTAGTCACTGTTACCATTTTAGTGTTTCTTTCTAATCCTTTTTTCTTTTAAATGCTTACATATACACATTATATATAAAAGTCTCCAGACACATTTTCTAGAATAATCATACTAATTATTAAATTACTCATTTTTACTTAGTAAATGGAGAACCCGTTCTCTGATACTCCATAGGTCACTATTTTTTTAAAAATTGTAATGGCTGCATAGTATTCCATTGTATGAATGTACTGTAATCTTTCTAAACCACTCCCTTATTGTTAGACACTGAAATTTCCAGTTTTAATGTGATGTATTTGTGTTTGGTTTGAAAAGCAGCAGTGAAGCCCAGGGAGACAGTTATAGGAAAGGGCCTGCAGGGTGACCTTCCTGCCCTGGGGAAGAGCCAGGCCTAGACATCGAGAAAACAAACCAGAAAACCCTGATCTTGTTGTAGAAAAACTGAAATAAGCCATATTTTTGTTGACAAAGGATTTAGAAACAGCTATCCCCCAAGTGTGTTATGTAACACCTGCAGTACTCACACCAGATTTGAACGGAGAAGACAAGCAGGAGGGAGGTCACTGCTGAGAGCCCTGAATCTGTGGCTTCCGCTCAGCCAGCAAGTTCTACAGTTGAAGGTGGGACTAGAAGTGGAATTATTCTCTTAATCTTTGCCAGTCTCCGATCTGGAATTTCTGGAAAGAAAAGATTTGAACCTCCACAGAGAGCTTTCTATTCTTAGACATTCTGGAATTCCCTTTGAGTAGTTTAGACTCTTAGCTTTCCAGGATTCCTAGGTCTAGAGGGCCATTTAGCAGTAGACCTCTTGTAGGTCACAAGCTGGTACTGGTCCGTATCCTATGGGGGTCCCTAGAGGTCCCCTGGAACTTGACTAAGTTGAGTAGCGTTTCCCCCAGCCAGTCTACATTTGCTGGCACAAAGAGTCTGGCTCTGGGGTCCTTCTGCCAGCCTCTGCTTACATGTACTCTGACTTACTTGTTGAGACCTGGCACTCCCTAGATTATCTCTGATGAGGATGTTCCACCTATGTGGTCCTTATCCTGTGGACGTTGGGGATGACTGAACTCTAGAGCATAGGGTCATTGCTCTCTTCAGTCATCAGTGGCCCTACACAGGTCCAAGAACCTTGTATCAGGAGATGCACAATCATTGGTGGGACCGGGGATGTGTAATGCCTAGAGTTTTGTTGCTGTAGCTGAAAATGTAAACATCACTATTCCCTAAGCATCAGGCAGGAAGCTGTTCAGTTCTTGGAAAAGAAGCATACACAAACTTTCTTAAAAGACAGTGTACAGCGTGGCTGGGTGTGTCTGATCTAGGGCCAAAGGTGAATTTTCTTGATGTCTCAGAGAGTTGCACTGAGCATGCGTCATAAGAACCTTAGCCAACTTGGCATAAAGGAGGCAAACAGATAATGTGGACTGCTGCATGCATGGGGCAGGGTTCTGGGTACACAGCTTGTGCCGACTGAGAGATACCACTGTCCTCTGTATAATTCTAGGGAGAGTGTGCTACAGCTGAAATGGACATTTTTCTAGATGTCAAATGTTCATTTGTATATTGTCCTGATTTTTGGCCCAAAGAAGAAAAATGTAATTTCTAAATACTCCGTGAAAAGGAGAGGCAGGGAGTAGGGGGAAATGTTGGCTTCTTCAGTGGGATCTGACCTTACAGTTAGAATCCACTGTCAGACAGAATGAATGTGTTGAATCTTAGATCTGTTCAGTTAGACCTTGCTCTTTTAAAATAAGAGATACAAACATGGAAAGTTATGTCCAGTTCCCTCTGGGGAGTGGTAGGAAAAAGATTATTTGTTCACACCTCTTAGCTTGGCCTCAGTAGATCCAAGTTTGGGGTGAGATGGATAAAGGAATGGGGAGTGAATTCCATGTGCCTTTTGGAAGGTTCTAACCTTGTTCTGAGTAGAATGCAGATGGACTTGGAATGTTCTACCCATTATCAGCTCTTTCTGTCCTCTTACTTCTCTCTGTTTCTTTTCCCCTAATGCTCATGAGTTGGGACATGAGGAGGGGGTAAGATGGGGCTCAGTCTGTGAATGAAAATAGGAAGAGATGCTTGCTTGAGCAGCAGTAGACTGAAATTGAAATGACACGGAGATTAGCATGGCTCCTGTGCAAGGGTGACACACAGATTCGTGGAGGGTTCTGTTAAAAAAAGAAAGAAAGAAAGGAGGAAGAGGAAAATGAATGTTTCTCCTCCTGCCTCTCCCTCTAACCTTAACCCTGGTCTGAATACAGTCTCATTAAAGCCGTGGTTTTAAAGTACCTCATTGGTCTCATTTGGAGAGCCCTGTTTTCCAACTGTAGAGGTTTCCTGAGACTTTGCCAGTGTAACTAGGGTTGCAGCTTAAAGAAAAGGGAAGGCTCTGAATGCAAAGGTGTTTGGAGGGGCAGGGAGGCTAGAGAAGATTGGGGAAGATTGTTTGGTCGTCACCCAAGCTGGCATTAAAGGCCAGGGAGGGTCATCATCCTCGGAGGTTCAGAAGCCTAATTTGTCAGAACTGAGTGGGTCTGTTTCTCAAGGTCTCAGAAAGACTAGTGTATAAAACCACCAAATGCCAATATATTAGGTTATGTTGAAATGCAGAATTACTAATGAAACCAGATATTGCTGTTTGCTGAGTAGGGCGTTCTTTCCTTGTGGACTTTTCTACAGGGGAAACCAAATTATAATCAGCATGCCAGCGTGTAGTGGGAAGCGTCCACTTGCTTAAGTGATCAGACCCTTGTGTCCGTTGATTAGCACATTTGGTCCCTCCATAGGCCAGACTAGGAGACGGTTGCTTGGAGAGCATGGACTCAGAATCGGGTGGTTGGTTGGAGAACTTTAGTGGCTAGCGTCATCAAACCAGGCCAACCTGACACTCGGGGTGGGGCTGCTAGATCTGCCACATACACAGCCCGGGACTCCTGCTCCCAGGATAGTCGGTGCTGGAACATTTCTGCCAAACTGGCCTCTTTGGACACCCCTTGATGGATAGTAGACTCCTCATTTCCTTTTTTTGTTAAACATGATTTTCTTTAAGCTGGTAACAGGGCAGTTATTTCAGTAGGCCTTTTAGTTATCATCTTGATCAGGTGCTTTCTTCTAAGTATCCTTCACTGGATTCAGGAAGATCACTGATAGTTACTTGGGTTGTTTCCCTTTTCTTTTCCTTTCCTTTTCTTTTCCTTTCTTTTCCTTTCCTTTCCTTTCCTTTCTTTCTTTTCCTTTTTCTTTTTCTTTTCTTTTCCTTTTCTTTTCCTTTCTTTTCTTCTCTCTCTCCCTTCCCCTCCCCTTTCTTTTCTTTTCTCCTCTCCCCTCCCCTCTTTTAAATGGAGGTACTGGGGATTGAAGACAGGACCTTGTGCATGCTAAGCATGCCCTCTACCACTGAGCTATACCCTCCCTACTCTTGGGTTGTGTCTCAAAGAGGTGGATTTTATCCCTTATATTTCAGCTTTTCCTCATCTCAGTCTTAGAGGTAGCCTTAGTTTCAGTTCTGGAGTTACAGAGTTTGACTGTTGTCTGAACGTGGCAGTGTGGCATCTATCCGAAATTGAGATAACTCCTAAATTCAGAGGGCACAGAATGATCTGGGCTGTGGTCAGGAGGAGAGCTAGTCCGTTCCCCGGTGACATTAGAGCTGCAGTCATTTTCTCTGATAAATAATTGAACTGTGCTTTCCAAGGGGGTCTCATTACAATGAGCAGGAGTGTGGAGGGTGAGGGGTTTGGTTACAGTGAGAGGAAGGATACAGAGGGCAGATAGACAGCATCTGGCCTAAGGTGCCTGCTCTGTGCCCTGGGAAGCAGGGGGGCACAGGTGATGCTCTGATGGCCGAGCGGCAGGTCTCAGCGCTTCAGCTCATCAGGGCCGGTCCCTGTCCTTGCCCAGCTGGGAAGAGTCCGGAGGCGCTGACAGTGGCATCACTTTAATTAGATTCCATATTTGGTCTCTGGGGACTTTTGTATGAGTAAAACGAGGGTTGGTGCACTTGAGGTACCAAATGCTCTCACTGGGGCTTGGAGGGTGACTCTGGAGTAAGCCCCAGGGATTGGAGAATTCTTTGCTTTTGTAGTCCCTGGGGATGAGGGGTGGATATTTATTCATCCTCATTAATCTTTTTCTCTCTTCTTTCCATGTCCTTGCCTTGGAGCAGTTATTACAGTAAGTATATTCAGGGGGGGTGGGAATATAAGAAAAGAAGAAATAAAAATGGAACTGCACTGGAGGTTCCTGGGGGTTCCTCTCTTTTTTCTTGGGGGACTTGGAGCTGTTGAGACTTAATCTTTTCATTCCTAACGAGAAGCTTGTTAATTGGCAAAGTGGCCTCTTGCTTGAAGCGGCATTGGCAGGTGGCTTTCTAAGGTGCAGCAGTCAGGACTAAGGCATCCTCGTCCTGGGTCTCACATGTACAGAACGAGCTCCCCCCTGCTCGCCCCAGGCTGTGCCTTGTCAGGGCTGTACAGAAACTTCAGTTCAGCTGACCTGATTGGGGCTTTCCCATCTGGGCATCTGTTGACACCAGTGAGCACTGACCCTTAGCAAAATTGTGACATCAGCAATGTTTCTTTTCCGTGACCGCCCGCTCTGTCAGTGCCCTTCCCACCCTTCAGCATCCTCATCCAGATGCCTTGTTCCTGCTAGGACGTAGGCGGTTTCTGGGAACCTAATTCCCACTGAGGAGTTGGGGGTTACCGTGTCCCTCCTTTGAACAGTTCCAGCTTTTAAAAAGCATTAGGGAGAAAGATAATAACTAGCATGAGGGGTTAGATTGCTGAGAAGAGAACTTCAGTCCTCAGCAAAAGACTGGCTGGGGGGAATTGGGGGAAGAGGGTAGCGAATGTGTTTGCTTGGCTGGGAAGACTTCCTGTGCTTTTCCCACACTACCAGTCAGCCGTTAGCACCCTGTCCGTCAGGTAAATGGCAGATACATGAATTAAACACGTGGATTTTTGAAGTCAGACAAGACTGTTTTTGAAGCCCAGCTCTGTCGTTGTCTCTATGGCCTTGGACAAGTACCCTCACCCCTTTGAACTTTGTAAAGTGAGCGTGATGTTACTACAGCCCTCACAGGCCGCGGTGAGGACTGGATGGGAGGATGAGCGCCTAGCGTGCTGTGGGCTCCCAGGTCAGTTAGCTGATATTATAGCAGAGGCTGGAGTCTCCCAACTGCCCTTGAGCAAGTAGTAGGAAATGGTTACTCCCCGAATTTGAGCCTGGTGACTGTAAGGTATTTTTTTCCCCTTCCAGAATGAGTACATGAAAGAAGACTTTCTGATTAAAATTGAAACCTGGCACAAACCAGATCTTGGCACCCAGGAGAATGTAAGTAGCACTTCCCCAGGGCCCCAGGGACTCCCTGAGGCTCTGCTCTGTGGCTCTTCCATCCTTGCCAAGGGGTCTTCTCCGTGGTCCCCTTTTTCCTGTCCGGGAAGATCTAAGCAGCCTGGCTTAGATCTATCCTGCCAGCATGGGATCACTCTCTCTCATCTGAAAAATACGATCTCCAAGACTCTTTAAAGGGCCTTCTCCTAATGTGAGGATTGGTCTAAAGTGCAACTCCTGGCACAGAGGATCTATTTTTAAAATACCAAAATTACAGCCTCTGTAGAGCACCGTTTGCCAGTAACTCCTCAAATTTAAAATACACCCCAGTAATTCTACACCTGGGAATTTATACTACAGTTATGTTTTTACATATGTGAAATAACTCATATACAAGGAGATTGATTGCTGCATT